TAGAATAAAAACATTGGATATATGCCAAAACTGCAAGCATCTCTGAAACCAACAACTAACAACCCATTTTGGCCGTATTCATACGACAAATCCCACTTAAGTAGGTGATTTGAGATAAGGCAAAATGTGAAATCACAAACTATCCTTTCTATGGATCCCAATGTGTTTACGATGTTTCTGCAGTTTTTCTTCTGAAAACGCTGCAGACACAACCGGTACAACAATTAGGATGAACGTTTACCACATGCACTGCCTAAAGGATCGAACCCCGCCCAACCGGTACAACAATTAGGATGAACGTTTACCACTGCACTGCCTAAAGGATCGAACCCCGCCCCGGATAGTCACAACAGTCAAAGACTAGCAAATAACCTTACGAGCTCACGAATTTTCCACATAATGCTCTTCTATATGGTCCCACATGCTACGGCTAATGACAAAATCTGCAGGAACACAGCCAGATATGGGATTGGCAGTTAGTTAGCTCAGAGCTTATACAGAGCAGTAGAAGGGTAATATGCAGAGATTATGAGCGAAGAGTGCTTGCCGGGACACTGCGCTTGTGCACAGCTGACTGCGACCAAGGGACCAAAGGAATTCCATTAAAAGCCTCGGACAATAAAAAAAAACTTGAACGTTGCAGACCTGAACCACCGATTCGGTCATAAGAGTCCAATTTTGATACTTCTGAATAGAACCTTAATTTGTAAATGCTCCTTAAAAAGAGGTAATTTCGTATTCGCCCATGTTAGCCTCTCGGAGAGTTACGAGATCTCCGATTTCTGCCAATTTTCCGCAATCTTCAGTCTTTTCTTTCAAAGAACAAGAGATAAGCGCCTGCCCGGTCCACCTCTTCTTCAGTGACTTCCTTGAAAAGACGAAAATTAGAAAGGCTTGGATATGAACAAGATCAAGCAAAACTCACCCTTACAGAGCAGTCATTAAGCAATAGCCATTTTTCGTCATTACCACGAGCGTATGCCACAAAATGTCCCGAGGACAGCTGGCCGTAATGATTCTGAAAAGGACTTTCGAAATCTGAACTGATAAACAACAATGCACGTTTTCGATTTCTGTCCTTTGGACGAAGATTGCGTCCTAGAAACGATTCCAGGGTCGTAGTCGTACATCCACGCCTTTCACAACTGAGAGAACGGCTTACGTACCGCCAAGCTTACATAAAATCAGTTAGTACGAAGGCTTATGGTGAGGGGAAATTGGAAAAATCTCAAGTAAGTATGCTGATCATTTGAGCGGCAATTGGAAGCGGGAATGATGTCGCTCAGCCCCTATAGGTCGGGCGACTGAACTGACGCTTCAATTTCCTTTCCTCAGAACCCTAATCTTTCATATATTCACAGCAGTATACTTCCTCTACAGATCAAGATTGAAAAGGCTCAACTTCGGCCTAAACAAAACTCGACTTTCAAAAAATATATCTTCTCTTAGCTTACGTCACTGAAAAACCTCCCAGCACAGTCCGCAGCACAACTCTTTCCAATTTCCGCGGTGTGATCCTCAACTTTTTTGATGGAGTTTCAAATGAGAAAACTCACAGCGATAGCTATACATTCGTATTTGCTTTTCTCGCCGTTTCCATCAACAAATGGTGCAGGATCAAAATGTCGTAGTGGGAATGTGATAACCCGCTTGCATTTGCCCATACGTCCTTCAGATCTCAGAAATTCGAATCGCTTCAAGTGAATTATCTAAAACACGTCGTGAGCTGTAATCATGCTATTTCTCAAAACAAAAAAAAGAGTCACTCCATGTCCACATGTCAAATTGAAAAGAAAAGTTTCAATTTATGCTCAACTTCCATATTGACATTGCCCTGGCGCCTAGTCAAGCCAAACCCTATATTGACCTTTCTCTGGGTGGTTTGTACAGTGTTCTTTACTTGTTTATATCGGAAATGCCAATAAATAAACTCGAACAGAAGAGACTTTTTTACAAGGTACAACGATTACTTCAAGAAATGAAGCTAGGAAAGCAGTTCCAGGTGTAGCAACTCACCAAATACCGTGGCAGCCTCCATATAGTCATCACTTTGTCTCTTTTCGTCTTCTCATTGCACGTATCACAGTGTATCAAAGCATCTAAAGTTTCTGGACAGCTGAACTTTTCGAGACAATGCTCCAGAGAAGACGGAGCAAAATGTCGTGACCACGTCTCGGCGACTGATTCGTCATCTTCACAAGCCTACAATGATAAAATAACTTTTATGACTGAAATGAGCAGTTCAGAGTAACAAACCATTGAGACTAAAAGCACTAAGTCTGGGTGGTCTTACCAATTCTTGCGAATGATTATACTTGAGATACAAAGCAATGGGCAGCCAGTCAACAGCTATTCCACAGTTTTCAGGTATACTGGCCTAGAATACATAGCAAATATTTGCGTAAAAGACCAGTTGTCGATGATCACAGGCGAGTATGAAAAATGGGTAACTATTCAGTGGCCAGTTAAACTAACCGGTGACGAATCCGGCCTGATAGCACAGCCTCTACAGAAACGCAGAGCTGGACATTGACCGCACCATCCCCAGGATTCATCGACCAGGCACAACGAGAAGGGATAGCCAAATGATATGTCTTCGGACCTGAAAAAGAATCCATCGTGCTGTTTCACTGGTCTCAAGGAAATATTAACAGCCAGGCGAATTTACGTTCCTCATGTCTTACTTTTCGATCTTACTGTCCTACTTCGTAAACCGAACTACTATTTTTATCAGATGATTTTGAGTCGAGCTAATGGTAAAATCCAGCCGGTGATCGCCCTAAATCTAATCTGATTCGGCTGTGTGGAGACTTTCCAACCCTTCGCCATTTAAGCTACATGGGTAAAAAAAACTTACGGGTCATGTGCTCGACTCGATATCGCTGGTGACGAAACATCCATAAATCTACGCATCTGCAAATGGATTGTTCTATAAGAGAAGCGTAACGAGAATATCCTAGAAATTTGTGATCATCGGTTCTCTTCTCATCTAATAAGCGTACTACTCTACCGTTGAAACATGAAACCTACATAAATCAAAAATTTTCCTTCATCAAGTGAAGTCAGCCGACTAGAGGACTCGCAATCCAGCAATACAGATGAAAGTAAATTAGAAAGTCAAATAGTTAGGCCCAGACTCTTAGTTCCATCGGCTTCTACACGGGCTTTGAAGCACAAGGTGTGCTACAAAGCATAATAGCGGTTTCGACGCCAAATTGATGAGGCCCAAGAATTCTTTCCCAGTTCCATAAGAGCAAGTACAAAAGTTTAAAGAAACAAACACTCACCTGGCTCATCACATCTTCGTACAATTCCTTTCCAGTTATATTCGGTGGGCATGGGACGATTAGCGGTAGGCCAAACTGCGTGACAACGAAACCACTTGCGGCGCCAAGGAAGTACGGTTCATGATTGTATTGCTGAAAGAATAGAAGAATAGAAGATGGAAGATTAACATCCAATGTACAAAGCTCAAAGTCCATCGGTTGAGGAGGGTGGTTCAATTAAGTTTTGCTTCCGATCGTTGCAAAGTCAACAAGAAAAAAAGCATTTATGACAAGTATAATACATCCTATCGAAGTAGCTAGCAAATATGAATGTGCAACAACTCACTAATTTTCGATGTATTGCCACACGCCATTCAGGAGTGTCCTCCGGCAGGTGTAACGCATAAAGGCGACCTCCTGATGGCACGGAACTTAACGGCGCGTCATCTTCGGTATTTATAGGATTCTGAACCAAAATGAAAATAAGAAGGTACCGGATTTCTTTCACTGGGAGTCCTTACCATGGAGTATCCTCTCTTATTGAGACACTGTATCGTAAGCGCGTTCCGGTTCACTCCAGTAGCCTCTGCTACCAGACCTTTGAACGTGCTTACTGTGCAATCTCTTGGTAACCGGAATCCGTACCTACGTGGAACACTTCCGTCGCGGCGAACGACTATAAAAATACTTCATTTGCTATCTTTATAATAAGGGATGATATATTGATACTGAGAAAAGTTCCGCCTTAATTTCATTAGAACAATTGAATGATCTCCTTAATGCCTAAATGTACAACTGAAACATGGTGAGATGCCGTAGCAACAACTGAGAAGGCTAACAGATTGACAATGAAGTATCTGCGCATTTTTCTAAGTATTCCAAATACTCGAAACACTCATCTCGATAAAGTCTACATGTTTTTTCGAAGAAGCTTAGCGATAGAGCATGTACTTGGGCATTTTATGATCAGTTTATAACTGAATAAGTATTTCTTTCATGTAAGAAATCATACTGTCCCTAAATATAAGCATTTACTCAGTCGCCAACCTAAACTAGCACCAATCCCGCAATCTCGATAGAGAGATCAACTTCAAATCTACCAAAAAGGAGGCTGGACTGATTCGGGGAGTGGAATCCATGTTGCATGAATTAGTGCAAAATCATTACCAATGATTTGATACAGCTCCACATTTTCGAAACCAATCGGAAGACTGAGAGACGTAAAAACTTCAAACACTGAGGATGACGACTTGCATTTACGGCAAATTAAACGTGACCGTAGTTGACCTAAAAATAAAGTGATTAAACTTCTACAAACCAGTAGAGGAGATATGCAAAAGAGAAACGTTTGGGGAGATTGTTAGGTACGGTATACTCTATTCTAGTGACGTTTTTTCCTTTGAATCATACTTGATCTAAAAACGCATTCATACAGTAAGGTACTAAGAAGAAGCTAATGATTTGTTATGAAGTTCGAGAACATTGATAAAACGAATGGGAAGCTCGAATCTTCTGCGTCAATTTGTTACTGTTCACTATCATTTGTTTCCATATTACATCTACAGGTTGTACTATTTGAGCTAAGAGGCACAGTTCACGAGAAAACGGTTTTCGAGATTTCACCTTACAATAGTCGGTGACACCCCAGGAATAAAATGAGAAACATTGTCGGATCACAAAACGACCTCGATACGGCATTGTATGAGCTCCAAAACCGGCTTGGCCGACGTATACATCAGAAGTTGCCGGGTTATGGCAGCCTTATTAAGACTGCATCATACTCAAAACGCCGACGAATAGTGAGCACATGTGGGAGACACCCGGACGGTTGCAATCCCATAACCCTCTTCTTTACAACTTTTTTGAAACCCTATACTTCTTGAAGTCTGCGCCTTCTTCGCCATTTCCATAACCCTCTCTTTACAACTTTTGTGAAGCCTTATTCTTGAAATCCGCGCCTTCTTCGCCATTTTCGCAGTATTCTGTACAATAATATCCATTTCTTCACTTCGGCTAGATACCTTAGAATCACCGTGAACTGTACCTTCAAGAAGAATACAGTTAACAGATGTACCTTTAGTGGGTAGAGGATACAGTCACAGGACTTCAAGTATATATGACGAATCAACTAACCTGAGAAAAGGGACGTTACCAGCGACTGATTATCTTACCTTTAGTGGGTGGAGGATACAGTTGCAGGACTTAAAGCCATTATACGACGAATCAACTAACCTGAGAAAAGTGACGTTACCAGCGACTGATTATCTCGAATGTACCGCTCCCAGGACTGAAATGTTACAACAATTCAGAAACTCATTTCCCATATTCAGGACCTTTTTCACTATTTCTTGTTTTCCGACTCTTTCAGCTTTGAGTTCTTCGCCTCGAAACTCAAAAATATTACCGCACTTGAAGCAGTAGAAAGAGAGAGAATGTGTATTTTTGCTCCCACCTTTTCTGCCTTCTCTTCATCTGTTGCAGCCTCGTCGCAGCTGCTGTCATCGCATTTGAAGCAGTAGAAAAAAAAGAGAATGCGTATTTTCGCTCCCACCTTTTCTGCCTTCTCTTCATCTGTTGCAGCCTCGTCGCAGCTGCTGTCATCGTTATCACTAGTCGTTGCCTCACTTTCTCCTGTTTCTTCAGTACTCTCACTGTCTCCTACCGAATTTTGATGTTCGATACGAGCCACACAAGTGTGAAAGCGTTCGATGAGAAATGACACAAACTCCTGACAGTCGTGTTGCTCACCATCGTCGAATTGGTCAGCAAAGCGTACGGCCTCCTGAAAACAACTTTTCCAAAGAAGTAGCACAACTATACTTACAGAAATTAAAGACAGATCCGCTAGTTCAAGTTAGAGCAAGTTCGGGCTGACTGGATTCGATAAAAAAAGGGCCAACCGATCTTTTGATATCGTGGGTCACGGACTTCGGTAGTTTTTGCCCGAAACTAAATGATTACACGGCCGTTTAGTATAGACCGTCGCAACGAAGCTACGCAGTTAGCATCTGTATGTGCTAATGGGCTCCCTGTTTTGGGGTAGGCAGCGACTACGATCTTCGCGAGTCACAAGAGAATAGTCTGGCTGTGAGTCGACTGTCACTCGGTTCATAAGTGATAATGCAAAGGTGAGGGTGATGGTGTTTTTACTCTTCTCTGCAATCATGGCTAATCTTCTTTCTAGATCTGTTAACAGCGGGTTAACAAAAGCGGCTAACCTTCTGTACACCAAAGGATAAGAAAAAGTCAATAAGGCACTTGGAGCCTCTAGAAAGCAGTTTATCTCGCAGTTTACCGGTTAACGCTGACGACAACACCTTTTTTTTGTTTGACAGGACAAGCAACGTTGAGAAAGAATGAAAAATCGCAATAATGACCCAAAATAGACTTCCGTGAGTTAAAATTTGCAGAAAAAGTGTCAGTTCGGGTAATCCGACTAATAACGGACGATGCAACTATATTTTCATTTCGAAGACTTCTGTATGAACTTACATTGAAACTGTTCGGAGAAATATTCTTCTTCTTCGCTGCCCACATCTCTTTTAGCAGTTTTGAGTATTCCAGAGTCGTGGCAAATGACTCATTGTTGTTTGTATCTCCTCTGAAATTGAACAACAAACTAATTCCAAGTAATAGAAAAGCGCAAAAAATAGGATTTCGTGTGTGCACGTCTCTCTGAGACCACGAAGGTGCAGATCACCATACTGTTCGCTGTTAGTTATTCGAGAAATTATTACAGCTTACCCCTTTGTACTGAAAAACACATAACTAACTTTTTCAAAGCACTTAAGCTCGCTTCATTCAATAAGTATTCTGTGAGAGGTGAGACCCTTGCGAGACATTGTATTGCTGCATTTCGGTAGCAGAAATTTCCAGAATTTACGAGACCCACAGCGCCTGGTCGACCTAAAATATGTCGTTTTCAAGGTTGATTGTAAATCCTAAGCACTGCAAGAACAGGGCTACTTCTTTAATACGATGCGCCTAAGGACCATCCACAAACAAAAATTCAAAAAGTCAACACAATCAAACGCAAAAATTGACGCGTTTGAACCAAAATTCCTTTTAGTTATGGTATTCATGAAATGAAGAAAAAGAAAGACAGGGAGCCTATTCAAAACTAATATATTCTCCTAAATATATTGACTAGTTAGTAATAGAATATCAAGAATATTACCTGTGGTGCACGCCAATGACGATATTTGTGTTCCTGTCAATGACGCACGTAACTCCTCCGGCCAAACACCATTTGCATCTCTTAGTTCAAGCAGGAACTAAATTACTACCTGTTGTATCCATTTGCCCCCATTAATCATCAGCTAAGTGCTTATGGTTGGAATTTCGTTCCCCTTTCCATCATTTTTATTTCAGGAAACAATATGGCAGAAACCAATACTCGAGATTATCCCCTCTATCTGCCCAAACCCGCTGAATCTTCACCATAGCCTTTTCACCATCTGCACGTCATTTCAACAAAAGGTCATGCGCACTTTCGTCTGAGACGCTTCTTTACCAAATCTAGGCACAGCTGATGGCATCATCGCATAGAAAGAACACGCCTCGTCATATAACAGTAGGACATTAATCACTAGAAAGAAAGCAAAAGACTGCGTTTATCGAAAACATGGAGCAGACAGCTGCCAGCGACTGCGGCTCCCTCTCTAACTAAAAATCATCATGGGTACATGACTTAACATTGGTATCAAACCAGATATAATTTAGCCCAGAACGTACTCATGACTTCATTCGCATACCATTTCTGAATCGTGAACAGTAAAAATTGCCAACTTGAAACCCCAGCCATGAGGTTGTGTTTCTATAGACATTTGAATAAAGAAATGTATCAGAGTTCCCCGTACTCTAACGATGATAAGGAAACCATATCGCCACTTACAATTTGAAAGATCATATTACCTTATTCACACGCTTCCCTTTCACTGTCAAATGGTGGAGTGTCCTTTTTCCGTCGTCTAGGAGCGTATTTCCATCATCTCCAACCAGCCATAATCTGTATGGACTCGTGGTGAAATTTCAACAAGAAAATTAGTGTTACAATTACAATTGGGAAACCACCCAACCTTGCATCTCCATCTCCGAGTCTTAGTTCGCTCCTACACAGTTGCAAAAGCTCGTCTACAGTACAACTTCGAGAGACCTCAAACGTGTTGATAATCATTTCAAGAAAGAGAAAAAAGCTTAGACTGGTATCCGCAAGTTAGCGTTATCGAATAAGGAATCTAGGTTACCTGAGCACATGCCCATGGAGATGTTTGTTGTATGCCATCGACATCTTTCAACTTCTTCTTATCATGTCCCAATAAAAGAATATCCATGGGATATAGTTCCAGCGCCTCTTTTCCATCGGGGAAGAATTCACCAGCAAGTCTTTTACGAGTGAATTGACCATCAACCTTAAAAATCAACAAGTTTTATTTTTCAAGACGTTATCTCGATTTGAAGACTTTTACTATACCCAGTTTATGAAACCCAACCATATTTCCTAAAGATTCGATTTTTTTGCTACTTTCGAAACGAGCCCATGTTTTATAAGTAGTGATGAAAATTCTCTCTACACATGGCGCTCTTAGGGGCAGCTGATTATTAAGGAAAACAGCAAGCAACAAATTATATAAGCTGATTAGAGTCGAAACTTCGTCTCTACACTACAAAAGTCCCCTCTCCTCCCCCCATGATTTAATTGAATTCTATCTTCTACTTCAACCATTTGTCGATACGCAGGCAAGCGACTTAAAGTTTAGCAATGTCCTCAAAAACTCCTCCGTATCGGCGTTGCTTGTGACATTTGTATTGATAACGGTAACTCTCGAAGATATATGGGTGTAAGATTACAAAGAAGGTAGGCAATCAAGTGAACTCACCGACTGTGCACTCCCATGCCAGCGAAGCCATGCTCGCCAAAGCGCAGATGGCACGGCAATATAGTCTTTCGCAGTTAGATCTGCGCGAAGATTCGCAGATTCCAACGATAAGCAAGCCACCTTAAGAAGTTTTTCACTTTGAACAAGTGTAATCTGCGTAACAGCAAACACACAAAACACGAGGGAACAAAAAATTGAACGAAAATTTAAAGAAAATCAGAGTATTTGATCATGAGAATGATAGCATCATATAGAGATGAAAGTCACCGCAACCTTTCCACTCCAACCGTCGTCCGCTTTTGTGCCTTTGATAGAGGAATTATCGACAGGTGGAGGTGTCTTTCCCTCTGTCGCAGCTTTCGCCCACTCAGCATGCCAAATAGAGGATACGATATTCCACTCAGGTAGAGGTAGATCCTTTGAGCGTTGTTCAAAAGAGCTGAATATAAAGATCAACGACAATTCATCCACTCTCATCAAGATTCCGAAAGATATATCAAATTACGAGGTAATAGATAAGCCAATAACATTTCACGTCCACCTCATTGTTTGGGGATTATCAATGTCGATAGAACATGAATTTGCGATAATGCCACGTTGGGAATGACACATGATCCCAGCTCAAATACATCTTTTTCATTTTCCGACTTTAAAATGTGCCCTTGCAGGGTAGAAAGTCGCTCATTTACAATATTCGACACCACCGTAATCTTATTGATTCGACTCACTTCACAAGTGCTAATCCTACGATATGTGATTCTGGGCGTAAACCAAGACAAATGTGACCGATTTCCATTGCCATTGCATAGTACTCTTTCGCGTGTTCGTTTTCGTTCGCCCATGTAGCAAAGTCGACTGTGGCAGCCTTGTCCCCTGCACTTTTCACAACAGTTCGGTCTTTGGAAGGCTGAAAATGAGAATTTCAGTTTGTTATGGTCATCTTTACATTTCTGCACCATACTCGCTTCGCTGTAAAATACTCTGTTCATCTACAGCACTAAGCTTCTATTCAAAACAGCCTTCCGAGAATGAGATGCGTAGGCGTTGAGGTAACTAGAGGAAACCGACATGAGCTTAAACACAGCAGATATGGAAGAATTATATGCAACGAATGATATTTCTCGAACCATACCACATGTAAGTCCTCGTACATTTGCTCTAGTTCGACATCAGAAAGCTTGCCATCGCAGTCTTCATCCCATAATTTCGCCAAAACTACAAAAAGAAAATGAGAGCCGAGTGAACAAAAAAAAANAAAAAAAACAGAGGTATTAGATAAGTATGAAGACGGGGAGAATCATCTTAAATACAAGTTCCTTACAAGAAAGTCGACTCGGAAACGGTCCACGACACATTGCTGAGAGACCACATACCAATTCACGGAAATCGATCTGATTGTCTCTATTCTCGTCAAAAACGCGGAATAACCTTAAGAATTACTGCTCAGCTGTTAGCAATTATGTGGGCTAGATCCTGTTCTGAATGACGCACTGATTAGCAAATTTCTCAGGGAAACAGTCACATAGTGCAGCATCCCATCGGTCCTTTGAGAGTTTACAAACGGATCGATCACNTGATTGTCTCTATTCTCGTCAAAAACGCGGAATAACCTTAAGAATTACTGCTTAGCTTTTAACAATTATGTGGACTAGATTTTGTTCTGAATGACGCACTGATTAGAAAATTTCTCAGGGAAACAGTCACATAGTGCAGCATCCCATCGGTCCTTTGAGAGTTTACAAACGGATCGATCACTTATGGTGGCGAAGACCTTCTCTAACTCCATAACCTCTTCCACAGACACTAAAAGAACAAAACTGAAGTCTTAAACAACATCATTCTGGAGGGAAAGCCCAGAAATATTTTAGTCTCGGCTGAGGAATAATGAAAGCGAATGGCATCGTTAAAAAAAGTAAAGCTCAAGCTATGATAAGATAGTTTGGATCGACTTACAGTGTGTGACATAGGACATCACTTCATAGAATGATATGTACGAGTCGCTCATAGGTATTGTGAGCAATGGAGGTCTCAACCCCCATGAAGCAAACTCTTTGCATTCTTCAATGAAATCTGTAAAATATTATTACATTTGCGTTTGTCAACCACAATATGTAAGCAGAATGACAAGTTTGGGGTTGTTTCGCACCGGTATTGGCTTGGCCCAGCCCAAATGCGAAATTCAAAATTCGAAAGTGATCATATTTCTAGGAACCTTCTGTATCCTGTCATGATGACCCGCTACAGAACGAGCTGCATGACGTGGAAACACAAGAAAAAACGAAAGCCATATCGGAGTTAAATGATCAGATGTAATGGAATGTTGTTTGCTATGTGAAAGCCCGTCTACGAGCACATAACAGTTCATAATTCAGAGATAAATCCAATTACTTACGCTCCTGAACATGTTCTACGCGACAAAGGCCAACAAGAGCTGTTAGAAGATTTTCAAACGACAAAGTGTCCGCATTTCTCGAGCAAAACTTGAACAATTCCCTCTGCTTGTCCTCTGGAATGGGTGCTCCTCCGAGAACGTGGTAGCAGAACTCCTAAAACAATCAAAATGCACCAAAAATAAGGCTCGTCAATGTCAAGTAACGGCAAAAATCGAATATAGTAATGTAAAAAGTGAAAAAATTACATCAAAATTTATAAATGGCTTCTTGAAACCCGCGAAAGCAGCGTGAAGTCTCTTGTACTCCTCGTCAGAAACTGTAATGAAATTGTAAAATGAAGGAAATGAAACATTTGTAATGATTTGTAGAAGCACAGCATTTGAAATGCTAGTTTTAAGCATCTTTATAAGTTCTATTAAGAGCTTAGTAAATAAATGAGCAAAGATAAGCGAAGAGATCAACAATATGATTTCATCTGCTTGAAAGTGCAGTGAGACTGCTGATTCGGATTTTTCTTCATAATTCTTCCCTAATTAGATACATAAATCCACTAGGTTACATTGAAACGTATTGATAACTTCCGAGCATTAAAATGAACACTGTACTGAAAATGAGGGTCAAATATCTTGGTTAGACTTTTAGAATTTTCTGATGCATTTGTCTTCAAATTTATAAATCTTGAAAGGATTTCAGAAGGTTCCTACAGTGCAGTTGCTCTCACCGCATATTTGCCTCGGATTACACTGCTCGATGAACATTCAATCAGAGCAGAACCTTGATCTAGCGGTATAATGAATTTCAAAGGGACTCTAGAATGAAATACGGAACTTACTGTGAGCTCTTGCATCCTCAACGCTTATAACTGGACCGTTTGTCGCCGAACCAAGTGAATTACCCATTTTTCTCAACTCGAGACGACAAGCATTCGCCTATATAGAATCCAAACTAAACTCGAAAAACCTACAGATTCGACGTTACAGTAAAGAATGATGATCGACGTGGCAACCAGCAAGAAATATTGATAAATTTGCATCAAACAGTACAAGCTGTCTTATTTTCTTTACGTGTTCGGAACGGTACATGTAAAAACACCTCGGGTCACCCGTGCAATCACAGGCTGTGATGGACTACCGTAGTCCCACGCTTGAATTTATTAGAATAGGCGTTCTCGAATAATTGGATCAACATAAGCCAGATTTTGTTTATTTATTCCTAAGAGAAATGAAATTTGCTTCTCTTCGTTCATCAGAATAGAAATTTCCTCGTTGTTAATTTCTGATTGAAGAATCAAAAGTCGGATTACTCGGAAGTTGGAAGCTGCTCTTGAAAAATAAGTGTATCAGATGATAAAGTGAAGCCATGTGATAGATTTCAAGAAAAACTTGAAAAGCTAGTTCTGAAACGAGTAGTTCTCCCACGTCACCCTAGTCAAATTCCAACGACAGCGGCGATTAAAGTAAAGTGTTAGGATACAGCAGTACGCAGTTGCACTGGCGACCTGAGGTGTTTTTACGTAAAAGTTTACGCCGTCTTGCAGCCGAACATTTGTATTTTCGGCAAGTCTTATGGTGTTTCATCACTTTTTACCAGAAAAAGACTAGTCCTCTAACAGCTACCGGGTTCAGGACAGTCTGGTGAGCTACGAATTACCCTAAAATTCCATAGATAAGAGCGGTTTAGTTAACCGGTAAAAAATGAATTGGAATGAAATTGAAATTGAATGCAGTCACCCCTCTAAATGATGGATGGATAAATAAAAACCGAAGAAGTTAAGAAGAAGCTCCGCCCCTCAACTCTAAACCCCGCCCACTTAATGAACAATTCATATAGAAAAATAGCGATTTTAACGGATCGCTATTTTTCCATATGAATGTTTATTCCATGTACATATGTTTAGAGTTGAGGGGCGGAGCTTCTTCTAAACTTCTTCTCCGATTTTTATTTATCCATCCATACCGCTCTTATCTATGGAATTTTAGGGTACGTGGAAATCCTGACTATCATAAGGGACTTAGCGGCTGCGTGGGACGATCTCAGCGACGTGATTTCCATTTTAAGCCAAATTTGCATTTGCAATGCCAACGCTTTCATTTTATTGATTGTCTCACTTATGAAATGTTTCCATTTGTGCATTAACAATGTGTAATTTCGCTCTCAATTGAAGCTTTGTGATGCTTCATAACGGGCTTCGATAAAGATTTGGTGAAAATTTGGGGAGGCGGGGGCCCTCCACAGTACTAATATAATGCTTCACGATTAATGAACTCACAAATCTAATGATCGTTTAAAAGTTTTTTTCGATTCCCATATCATCTAGATTGATTGGCTTCTACTTAAGGTAATTCTACCTTATTGGTTCGAGGATGACATTTTTCCACTTCATAAACTGTGTCACCTTGGCATATGCTCCATACTTCATCGCCTACAAATATTCAGGTAAGATCAGTTGAACTCGTAATTTTCCCATTTTGAATTTCATGGTTTATAAGATTCAACACAGTTGGTTTTGAGATTTGTGTTAACGTCGCATCAGTCATCCCAAAAGACCAGTAAATTTAGTTCATCATATGATTTGGTTAACACTAAAAGCTACTTTTATGCTTACCGTCCAAACAGCCATAGCTGCAGGTCCTTAACTGAGATTAACTGCAAGTGGAACACTGCAAAGGTAGCACGCGTCCTGCAGTTTCACCCTAACTAATAGTGGTCTACTGATTCGTTGATCTTCGTTTGACTTCTGTACAAGCTGAACTCCATTAGTTCAAGCTACATGGGCGAACGAATGGAGTTCTACATATCACACAGGGCAGAAAAAGACTTTTTTTTTGAAGAAAACTAACTCGGCTACGAATTGCTCAAGATTTCTTCATGCGGTGGACTGGGGGTAAC